TATTGTGGAGGGTGTTAATCATGGATATTATCATCTTCATTATTTTAATTTTAGAGAAATACATGAAACCGTTTCATTAAAATTTCATTAAGTAGTATATGAAACAATTTCATAACCCCATATGAAACAAAATATTCAAACTACAGGATTTCAAACACGACTTTGAAAATATATATTTTAAAATAAAATAAAAACATATTATTTATTTTAATCCAATTCATTCATATTTATATTCTTTTATAAACTCAATAAACAGTACAAATTTACAAACCTATTTAATATGTTGTTACATATATAAAGTTATACGTATAGAATATGTAGTATTTATACATTGTTGTTTTACATGTAAAACTTAAAACCAGGAGTATTCATTTAAATAGTACACACCACACCACAAAGCACGGTTTAGGTTTCCTGCAGTACAAGTCACGGTTTTGAATTAACAAAACTGCAGTTTTAACCATTCCGCACCACACATACGCAGTGCAGTTTACGGTTTGATCTGCATCTGTAACTGCAACAACTATTCAACACTTTTCAAACGAACCTATGATTATATATAAATAATAGTATATGATTATTAAAAGAAAGTGTTTGTGGTGGGTGATCTTGAATTTGATATCCCAAACATGTCACATGGGGGTTACAATGACTTAACCCAAATTGTAAAAATGGGTTTATTTACTGTTAATTAACAAACAACACTCCAAGATTTCACAAAGATTCTTGTTTCTCATCCAGGGTTCCATTGCCCATGCTTTTAACTTCTAGGAACCCTTCCTTCCTTCACAAATCAATGTCTCAGGTAACATATCTAGTTTTATAATAAATTAAATACAGTATCATCAGTGTTTTTCGGTTTTTTTGTATTTCACTAATAAGATACCCGCACAATGCTACGGTTTACATCTCGATTTAAAGTCGAGAACGTAAAATGTTAATCATGTTTTATTTAAAGACACTTGAGACTAATCGAGGTGCAAGAAAGTTGGCCTAGACACCATGGTTAAAATGATTATGGCTAATTTTAAAGTTTTTTGATTGGCGAATATAATATAAGTTGTGAATTTTATTCTTGGTTGCTACTATGATTTAGAAGTTGAAGTTTGTGGTTCATTAGTGGAGGAGTTATTTTCAATGGTTTTTTCGGATGCTAGCATTGTATCAAAGGATGAGAATATGTTAAAAAATAATTTCTCAATAAAACATAATGGTATTTACGGTAAACACTTAAATATGCTTTTGATTTTAAACATGTCAATATTTTTTTTTTTATAAAATGGGGATCAAGTCATATAAATACTATTTTTTTCCATAAAAAACACTATTTTTATAGCTCTCTTAGAAGAAAAAAAAATAAGACAACAGTTGTAAAATAGTTTTAAAAAAAGTACGTTTACAATAAATATGTATGTATATATAAGAGGATAATGCTCTTGGTCCAAGTCTCTTTGGCCGAGTCGATTACAGGTTTAAGTTTTCCTTCCTTCACCAACCAACCAGGTAATCCAAGTTCTTGGCTTTCGATCAAAATAATCAAATTTTCGAGCATGTGAGTTTCGTCACAATAGCAGCCAAAAATGCGTTGCACCAGTTGTTTTTTTTCAACCAGTCAAAATGAATACCAACTGTTTTTTAAAGCATGACTTTTACAATAGATGTCAACCTTTATAAGCATAAAGAGATGTAAAAAAAGGTTTCCATACAATTGAAATATATTGGGTTGGTTTATTTAGTTTAGTTTTAATAAGATCCAATATAACAATCGTAAACTTCTGCGAGCTTAAAATATCTACAATGTTTTTTATAGAGGTGAGCAATACCAGAAATACCCAATCCTACCCAACTCGAAAAACTGTAGAAAGTTCGACCCCAAAACCCAATTAAACCCGACACCACAAACCCGATATTTTCCTCGGGTAATTAGGGTCGGGTCTGTTATCCTACTTCCCCCAGACAAGTCCGATGACCAAATATTTAACTAACATATTATATTTTCCTTTTAATTTTAACTAATCTAACCTAATTTCCTAATCGACGACGACTCCTCTCCTCACTTCCTCAATCGAACTTCGACCTCAATCCACGAGAGACGATACCCCCAGCCACGACCCCTCCGTTAGTTCGGTATTGACATTTTGTTATAGAAATCAAATAATTAAGAAGTCATTTTATCATTTTGTAACTCACTTAGATACTTAGATTTGTGTTTAGATACTTAGGGTCTGTTTACTAAATTTTTTATTAAGTCATGTATGGATAAATTGGTCTGTTCGAATAAATTTGTCTGTCTAGACAAATGAGTGTTGTTGTTTACTTTTTTTTTATCTCAACCAACAATCTAAATAACATAAATGATCGATTTACCCCCCCAATATTAATTATTTGAACATCAAAACAAAAAATCATAAATAGGTTGACGATGGTGTGTCTCATTTGGGAAGGAGGCGATGCTTTAAATAAGGGGTAGATGTGTCATTTTTGTGGCTGAATGGGGACAACATAACATTTCTATCTGTGCGATTAAGCCATGTTCTGTGCGAATAAGCCGTAAGTAAAGAACCCAAATGAGCTGTGTGAATAAGCCATATAGACCAATAAACCTAATTAAGCCACAAGTAAACAACCCCTTAGATTTCAATAGGAAGCTGGAAAATCTGGAGATCTAGAACAGACAAGACAAAAGAAAATGGGAAAAAATTTGGGGCTTGAAACCTGACCCGAACCAACCAGAGACCCGAACTGACGCAACACACTTGGGGTTTATCTAACATTTGCGGGTTTTTGGTTCCATAACCCCTCCCCCTCGAAATCCAATCGGGTTTTCTGTTTTGCGGCCCGATCTGCCTTGTTGCTCACCCTATTGTATGACAATAAAAGTTAAGCAATCAAAAACATCCAAAGTTAACGTAATAATTTGTAACAAAAAAAGAAACATATTTTTGATGTATTTTAATTAATCTATGATTATGTATTTTTAATACGATAAAGATGTAAAGTGAAAAATAAAAATGTAAGAAATATATATAAAAAAATTAATTAGTATATATTCAT